GAGAGTCAGAAAAAGATCAGGCAATTAAAATATAAATAAAAACTTAAAATGCCCACAATATCAATAAACCAAAAGCTTTTAAGACAGTGATTGTGTGACACAAAAAACCCTTCACTGCTTGCCGTATAAGGAAGCTCAGTCGCTCTGTCAGCTACAGACGACTATGCTCGAGGTTTTCTGCATGATAAACTTAGAAATAAGGATATCCGCAGTAGAATCAGAGTAACCGACACATTCCAAAGGATTAGTAAGCTAAAGTGATAATGGGCCGTCCATATAGCTGGAAGAACTGACAACCGGTGGAAAAAGGTTTTCTAATGGCAGCCGGTGGGTGAAGTGTAGGGCGACCCCCACTAGATGGAGTGACGACCTGGTAAGACATGCAGGAAGTCCATGGACGCAGGTGGCTGAGGATCGTGCTTTGGCGCATTGCGGGAGGCCTATGTTCAGCAGTGGATTAGTGAGAGGTTGTAATTAATGAAAAAAACACTAAAAAAGACTTTTACCAACGCTGAACTTATACAGACTATGATGATTTGTTTATTGATAAAAATATCGATATAGACCTCGTCCTACGTTGCTAACGCATGAAGACAGCGGCACCACTGTATCGACACGTGTACAATTTGATGGTATGCGTAAATGCAATGAACACAAACGCTCTAGTGACGCGATTCAATTTGCATTTATAGTGAAGTATACAGTAGTGTGTTTTCCTCGCCTCCTCCTGAAAGTGACAGACTTTTGTTTATGAATTAACACGCATGGCCCATCTAGTAGGTTGAATACTCAAAGAACTTACTGGGTCTTTAAGTCTTGCTGTGTATGCTTGAAAGAAAATTAACTAATGTTTCAGATCCAGTTACTCCAATGCAAGATCCATTGATATCAACTATTCATGTAGTTATAAAGAAAAGGGCTGAAATGTTTTTAGGTATGATTTATATTTAATATTTGATAATATGATATATATTTCATATTTGTTCTGACATAGACAATATTTATATGTATCATTCATTGACTTATATGTTACTAGCGTAAGGACCGAGCCGACCGTGCAGCTAAATCGCACCAGTGCGCTGGGCCTAAAATGATAGTTTAGGGCAAACGCGAATTGGTAGACAGTGGTGCGCGCGCAGGAAAGATTTGCTTGTCATAAATATGCCTAGTTGCGTGTTAAAAGGATGCAAAAATTAATATACAAAGATTATAACAGGAACATGGGATATCGTACCATTGGTAAGTAAACTTATATCAATTTTGTTACAATTAAATTATTATATAAACGCTTTTTAGTAAGTTTTATTTTATAGTTAGTCACTTTAGTTACGTTACCAATATTACGCCAGGGTTGGATTCAAACCCTCAAATATTTTGTACAGGGAAAATAAAGTTATACTATTTCTCCAAAATTATACCACGTTTGACGTTTCATGTTTTTTTTTTGCCAAAATTTTGGCGTCACGCGTCTAGTGTTTCTATACGTTTTGATTTTTGGTTTTATTATTATTTCTGTTTTATTTTTGTCTTAAGAACTTAGTGTGAGTTAAATTTGAATATTGGCACCTAATATGTTTTATGTTCAATTAGGGTAAAACGAAAAGAGCACAAAAGAAACGATACCTACATTAAATGAAACTGAACATCGTATTCATAAAATATTTTGAAATTCTGTTTTCATTTCAACACACAAACTAAGAGAAGCTGCCGTCCGTCATCAAGCTTCTGGTAAAAATGGATAGGAGAAGACTTATAAACAATGTTTACACATGTGCGATGGATTGATGAGTATTATTAAGATACTACATACTGCACATAATGAAATAATGGTATAAATAGGATAACTATATTACGAAATCCGAACCTGGTTACGTCGTGTTATGACGTTTGTACTATGACAGATGCGCTACTTTTTCTTGTATGAAGAAGTTATGAGTAAAATTAGTAGATGGGCGTATCCTTCCTTTTGTAATCATTGGTATCATTACGTTAGCCTAATGGCAGGGTGCGGGCCGCGAACTCAAAAGGTAGAGAAATCGAATCCGTCATTCAATTACTCTCGTGAACCATTCCTAGCACAAGCTTTTTAAGCTGGTGGTTAAGGGGAATATTAGTAATGGTAATAGCATTGTTAGTATTTTATCGGCCTTTTTTTACGTGGTAGAGCAATGTTGCAGTTATATTAGTAGTATAGTTGTAGCACGAATGGATCGGATCGACCGGGCAAGGACCACGCTCTCACAGAATACCAGCGTAAAATAGTAGCTTAGTGCTACTGTTTCGTATGGTGAGTGTAGAGAACATTTTTTAACATTCCATCTTAGTCCTCACGGGTGACAACGCGTCTGCATTTTTATTCGTAATCGAGGTTAGGTGGCCACAGCAACCACTTAACATCAGGTGGACTGTGTGCTCGTTTGTCACCCTATTCTATAAAAAAGCTCTTACTATTTTGATTATTGCTGCACCACCTCTTATATGTTTATTTCTGATTAGCTTAATAGTTGACTGATAGAATGCCCTATGGCATTAAGTGTGCCCTGTGAACTATTTTGTGCATGAAGGTAAAATAACAAATTTAAAGAATTTAGATTAGAGACTAGGTACCAAAATTGCCATTAAATTATTGGTCAATCAAAGTCAATTCGCAACCACTAATAAATGCTTAATGATGTTTGTGGGCTGTTGCAATAATTGTTTCTTTTTTTCAGACAATAAAAGACAAAGGGTATCCTTCCAGAAGAGTACAAAGATGCTGATCTGCTGCTTTTATGGATAATATTTTCGACTCAGTTAATGGCAATTTTAAAAAGAAAAGATGCCCAAACTCTACTTGGACCTGCAACAGCTCACTCCATACATCACAAAACATGGATGGATGGCAAAAAAGTTTTTGCGTCTATGATGTTTATATCTTCAACAGGTAGAATCTATTCCAACTGTCAACAAATGGGTGTGGACACTAGAAGGGATGGAAGTTTACATTAAGTTTTGGCCGAACACCAAATATGAAACGAATATTCGGCCCATCTCTAAATTTAATGGAGCAATAATGGAGAATTGCTTACTTAATTAGCAATTGGTTTCAAATTTATTTCAATTCCGAACGATCTCAATTTCATTCTTGACGCATTTTAAATACATATTGGGTGCGTTTGGCAGAAAAAAGCGCTAGCAAGCGCTTATAAGCGCTGAAATAGTTTTCGGCCAGGACACGATTGCTACTTCAGTAGCGCTGACACAATCCGCCATTTTGCTTATTTAATTTGTTTGTTTTGAAGTAGAGTTTATAAGTTATTTTGTGCAATATTAGTTTTGAGTAATATAATGACATGAATAAACATATACATGTTATTGAAATTCATGATTGGTAAGTTTTTAATATGAATACTTTACAAACATATATTTAAATTAGGTTAGGTTCCCCGGTTAAAACTAACATCGTGTCCTGGAGGAAAATAGCTACTTACGATTTGACAGCGCTTACCGCTTACGATCGCCATTTTGCTTACAAGCGCTTGCTAGCGCTTTTTTCTGCCAAACGCACCCATTACAATTGAACAAGTTGAGTGCAGATTTACATTATTTAATTTTTTTAGTTTTGTTCTTATCTTTGTTTAAGCCTGTTCATTGATTTCTATATTTAAGTTGAATAAATGTACTGATATTTATTATTGTAATAACTATTATTGTATTTGTGTGCTGTTTTTTTAATAAATCCTGTAAATATAATGTTAGTTTTATTTATTTTGATTTTGAATTATTAATATCTGTGATGAGAACAAGTATAGTTTGTGTCCATGCTCATGGGGGGTATGTTGCCATAGTTGCTTCGCTTGGCGAGCGGGTTGGCAACCGCAGTTTTTTTGTAGAGTTGTTGTTACCACGAAGATGCTGCTGCTCATCTCCTGCCTGCGTCCCTCTGTCGCCTTTACGACACCCACGGGAAGATATGTGATAGTGGATATTCTTAGCCGCCACTTAATGGCAATACGACGTATAGTCCGACTAGGTAAGTCCAACTTCGACCGAGAAGTCAATCGACAGATTCGACTCGGCTGAGCGGCTTTCGGGAAATTACGACACATCTTCTCGTCAGGTATACCTCAAAACCTGAAAACTAGATTGTACAACCAGTGCGTTTCGCCAGTGATAACTTACGAATCTGAGACGTGGTCCTTCACTGCTGGCCGTATGAGGACGCTCAAGGTCGCTCAGCGAGCTATGGAGAGGGCTATGCTCGGGGTTGCTCTGCGTAATAAGCTTAGAAATGAGGATATCCGCAGTAGAACCAGAGTGACCGACATAGCCCAACCGATTAGTAAGCTGAAGTGGCAATGGGCCGGCCATATAGCTCAAAGAACCGACAAACGTTGGCGAAAAAAGGTTATCGAGTGGCAGCCTCGTACCGGTAGGCGAAGTTTAGGGCGACCCCCCACTAGATGGAGTGACGACCTGGTAAGACATGCAGGAAGTCGTGAAGTTTTAATTAGAATTAATATAACAAACATACTTTAAAACACAATATTACATAATACATACATAAACACTCACGTCTGTCACCCAGAGGGGTAGGCAGAGACTACAGACTTCCATTTGGCACGATCCTGACACACCTCTCGCGCCTCCTTCACATCCATACACCTCCGCATACATGCTCGTCGGTTAAGGGTCCTCCTAATTTGGCCCGTTTTCAAAAAATCGCCGATTTGGTCGATAAATTTTCGCCTAGGACGTCCCTTTCCGACTCTGCCATTCACTTCTGCACCATAAATTTTCTTTGTCACTCTTTCCTCATTCATTCTTTCCACATGACCAAACCACAGAAGCATTCCTTTCTTAATCCTATACTTTAAAATTAATTAATAATACAATAACTTAATTCATAATACAAATTTAATTCATATTTAATTCATATTTTATAATTTAATTCATATATAATAATTTACGTCAATCTCAATCACATATTCTGTCATTTCAACCAAAAAGTAACAATTATTTCACTCATTTTCTCGAATGATGTCTGAGAAGGGACCATGCTCAGGAAGCGGAATTTGATTCGCCGTGTCAGGTACAACCTGTAAGATAATTTTATCATTAATTATTTTGATCAATGAATATTATACTTATAAATATGCGTTTAAATATGTCCTAAGAATATTATAATCGTCAGTCCATAAATTATTGCTGGACATAAGATTCTTACAACGCGGTCTTATACATGAAGGGATATACGACGAAATACCAATAATAATCACGTCGCTCAAAACAAGTATTGACTGATTCTTTCAGAAAAATATCAATTTTTAAATCGATTCGAATCGAAATTCGAAATCTGATGATTCAATTCACAAAAAGTCTAATAGATCGATCTTTTTCCGATTTGATTTTCGAGTTAATATTAACAATATCAACAAAGCACTTATTACAAATGTAACTTATTTTTATATCCTTAACGAGCTGACCCGACAGACTTCGTACTGCCTCAATCGATAAATTAAAAACCTATATTTTTGTATAAAATAAACTTAAAACAAACAAAAGGAATCCGTAATTAATAAAAGAATGCTCGGTATGAATGAAGTTTTATTATTATTTTCAATTAATTACACATGATGTTGCTTACTTACAAACCAGAGTTTTCCTGAAATACTGGCTATTTATAAGATTTCAATTTAATATTGACATACCACACACACTTATGATACAGTCTGTTAATCAATTTAAAGCTCTCTGATAAACTATATTTTTTGTTTTGTTTTGTGATGCGTAAATAAACAAAGATGACGGTTTTCCGGCGCGCTAACACGCGACGTATAACTGTCCATGCACGAAACAGGGAAACTCTCAAGTTGATTCCGCAAACTTTCAACGACTGGCCTTATGACTTATTTATGGTCATCGCAAAGGCCAGACGTACTAGAAATTGTAAACCCGCGACTACTGAACATGAGGTCTGAGGCTAACGAAAATCAGTAATTGAGTTTTTCTGTTAAGAAGTTCTCAGTTTTAGCTCGAAGTCCGGAAGTTGGCGCCGTTTCACCCTCATGCCACGAAAAGTAAATAAAGCCGTTCGTCCTGCGCCTGATCTCACTCCGATCGTGTCGGCTTGCCGTCCAATCTTTTATTTTATGATGGTAAGTGGATGATGTAGCCCATATACATCTACATGTATCCTCATTAAGGATATAATTAATCCCTGAGGACTAAGATGGATGCCTTGTTTCAAGTAAAGATGGTCTCCTGATTTCTACATACACCATACGAAACACAGCAGCATTAAGCTGCTACTTTACGCTGGTATTCTGTGAAAGTGTGGTCCTACCCCAATCAAGCTGACCTATTTATGCTACAACCATAATATAGCTGAAGCGTGGTTCTACCACATAAAGCCATGATGACTGACTATGCGAGTGAGGTAATAAAAAGTGCACATGTGCTTGAGACAGGTCGCCGTGATCAAAATTCGGTCTGGAGACATTATTATTATTATACTAACCTTTATGCGGATCTCTTTTGGCATGTATTCTAAGAAGAACTGGTCGAACTCGAAGTGAGTTTTCACTATTTTCAACTTAGCCATCTCCAATTTCAAAAGATTTACGGCATCTATAGGCGCTACTTTGTGATGACGAATGTATTTGGAGAAATCGTAAATTGTCTTCACCAGTTTTTCAGCTCGAACGCGGGCCATATAGTCGTATCTAAAATATATTCACATACACATTATATATATATATATATATATATATATATATATATATATATATATATATATATATTTTTTAGCAAACGTCGGGTATTAAAAATAAAATCCGTCAACGTAGTTTTAATCAAGGTAATGAAGTTTTAATTAGAATTAATACTACATACTTCCATTTGGCACGATCCTGACACACCTCTCTTGCCTCCTATATATATATATATATATATATATATATATATATATATATATATATCCGTGACCTGGTGCTAAAAGAGTGTACGTTCATTGATAGTCTTTCAAAAGATACTGTATTATAAAGGCCAATGTAATGTATACTTCCATAGTGTTTAATAAAAAACGTACTTTGGCCCTTTTAGCACCAGGTCACAGATATATATAGTATTATTGCTTGTACCATTACAACTACAAGAACACAAGAAAGAACTATAAGAAGTTACAAATCTTTTTATTAAGGCTGACCTATGCCGGTCTCTATATTCAAGAAACATTTCGGTCTCTGCTCAGACCAATAAAATTTTCTGAGGTTCTTTGTTAGATGTTTGTACATTTTTGAACCAGGCTTTTCGCACTCTAGAATGTGTCGTAAGCAGTTAGAAACTAAAATCTTCACATTCTCGCACAGTCCATTTTAGGACATAAGTATCTCTTGTGTGGTCGCTGGACGACAAAAAGTTCAATGTACTTGAAGTTAAGCATAAACTAACATATTAGAAGAACATTCAACCATTATGTCATGCTTAATATGCACGTCTAAAAATTCGTCACTGAACAATCTACTGAGAGTTGAAAGTTATAAGTGTGGTTTATTAGAAGAAATTCTAAGTATCCTTAAAATAAAATAACAAGGATGACAAAAGTTTTTTGTCTATATTTGAAAAAGTACCCAGCCAAAATACAAGAACACTTCTACTTTTAAGTCAAAATTACTCAATCAAAACCAAATTATATTGTTAATGACAGAATTATTAGTGAAAGGACATTGTTGCACCCAAGAAGCCTTATAAATTAAACACATGCCATTTAATTTTTTTATAATGTGTAATTAAGTATATAAAAATATTAGGTACTGTACGGATAGATAAGATATTTTTTTATTTTCAAAGTTTCGTGTTTCTTCGATTTCGTAATCGAAATTTTCATGTGAGTTACCACAAATTTTGTAAGGATTAAAAACAAGTCCACAATATTTCACGCTATGATTATTATATTGCCTTTTGTGGAATTCAAAAAGGCTGGCAAGCCAAGTTTATTTTGTTTATGATCAATGCCCAAGGGGCCTAAGCAAGGTTTGTTGTTTCAGAGTTAATTGCTAGCTAAACTACGCTCAAAATAGTTAATTTACAAAACAAAAGTGAATGCATACATAACTTTTGTTTTATATAATACAGGGTTTATTGTAAATCTAAAATAAAATTTAATAAGAACCTCATTTCAAAAATATTATTTGCAATTTTAAACGAAGATTAATACGAGACGCGCGACATGATGGTGAAGGATAACGTAGGATACATGAGGGTTACTCATGACGATCAGTAAGCCTGCGGAGTGATGGCAAAGAAACTTTTCCAATAACTAATTAAGATGTTATACTTTAGACTTAGTAGAGCCACGCTCTAGCGATATTATGGTTACAGCATGAATGGGTCGGTTCTATCGGGGAAGGCCCACGCTCTCATAGAATAGCGTAAAATAGCAACTTAATGCTGCTGTGTTACATATGGTGAGTGTAGAGAACTGGAAACCCTTTTCACTGCAAACAAGGCATTCCATCTTAGGCATCTGCAATTTGATTTTCTAATGATGATAGATTTAGACGTCCAGCATCCACTTACAATCAGGTAAATTATGTGCTTGTTTGTTACCCTTATTCTATTTTTTTAATCAAGCTAATTTTGCATATGACTGAAATCAATGTAACGTGAAAGTGCCTGGTAACTCTTGGAATTTTTCTCAATATAAATTTATGTTTAGATCTGCGCTAACTACATATCTTCAGAATTAGGGGGCCAAAGCTGTTCTTTCAATTTCGTTGCTCATTTACCAGTCGATAAAAGTACACAGATGGGTTATTAGAGTTTTCATCATTTTTCCTTTGTAAAGATTGCGGAGATGTAGATTGAGAGTGTTTGCTATAATCTTCATACTTGGCAGGATCACAGTACCATATCTAGACCACGCTTGAAATATGAAATCGTAATCTTCAAGGTGACCTTCATGTGTGTGACCTTCAAGTGTGTATACATAATAGTTGTCAGTTATTGGACATTTGCAGTAGCCAATTGCCTTCAACAACACCAGGAAACAAAAATTTACAAGTTTAAATTTGCACGTGAATATGTTGATAGAAGTTTAGCAGCAATGGAAGCTCAATTGCTCTAAGCTATTTTGTTCTCCGATCCACATGGTTTTAATGGAAATAATGGGGGCAAAACACCCGGTTTCGAGTGAAACTTGTCCTGCGTTGCTAAGACAATGGTATTTGGAAGTTTCCATAGTGGTTGCAAGCATTTAGAAGGACGCGAAAACCGGTACTTGTGTTTTATAAATGACAGAATCAAAAAAGGTGGATTGACTGCTCAATTATTTGTCGACACGCCAAGCCACATGCACTGTCATTGTTCGGGATGTTCTCTTTAAGGTCGAAACTCGCAACTTGGACGCCAGAGTGCCTAATTTGAACCTAATTGAACACATCAGAGACGAGTTCAAAGAAATATTAGGGCCGGGTCTCCAGCTCTTTGCTCTTTTTTCTCGTGGCAGAACAATGGGAAGACATTGTGCAATATCTTGTAAATTTCACATACAGTGATTTTTGGGCACCAGTTAAAATTGACAAAAAGTAAAGTATTCAATTAAAATTTATTTAAAAATAATGAATCCTTCCCATACCATGTCCAACTGCTTCCAATTATTATTTTTAATACTCACTTGGGCTCCAATTTAGCCTCCAGAAATTTATATAGCCTCTTTGTAACCCAAGAGGCGTCACGCGGTTTATATCTCGGAGGTGGTTTGTACTTTATGTCTTCCAATACCTCTGCGGACAGATTTTCAATTGGAATTAAGGTAGATTTAATTCGTTTAACTTTTGATTTTGTTTGTCCAGTTTTCATATTGGTCCGACGCAGAGCTAGATTTGGGCTGGCCAGCATTCGGAAACTATCCCAGGATTCTTTTTTGTTTGCCTTAAGGGAATTCCTCACTTCTTCTTCCTGAGACAATAGAGTATAATATATAATAGCTGGAAAGCACCCGAAACGTCGGGAATTAAAAATCATTTAAAATTAAACGCGATAAAATCCATGAAAGTTGTTTTAATCAATGTGTAGTGTTCGCGTAAATGTAAGAAATCAAAATAGAGTAATTTGTTGATAAATATAAACTGTAAATAAATAATATTGTTTGATATTTTATTGTGTTTTTGCAGTGTAACACACTAAGTCATATTGTACTGTAGGTGTCGTAAGGGCCGATTGAGGGGAATAAAGATAAGCATCTTCCTGATATATCCCCCCAATGATCTGTGGGGAAGACCTATGTCATGTTTGTGTGATTATTGTATTGTCGTTGATCCTTAATATATATTAATATATCTGCAAACTTTCAGATTATTCAGATGTTAAGAAGTAAATGAAAACGTATAAGAATTATAACATTCCATTACATGAATTTATACAGCTCAAGCTAATATAATACTAGGATTTTAGGAAAATTCAAACTACACGCATTGATCATGACTCATGAGCTCTGATACTCTTAGAGAGTATACTAGGTCATAGTCAAGAAATCATTGTATTTACATAATTTCTTAATGTGTGCAATATTTCAGATTACTTAGTTATTTAGAAATGAATGAAAACTGAACTACATTATCCATTACATTCGTACGTATATAGATTTATACAGGCTAATATATTGGGTGTTAGCACTTTTAAAATAAATCAGCATATTTATTGAAATTGACCCAACCACAGTGTAGTATATAGAGGTGGTGTAGGAGAATCCATTTTGTCTCATATGGGACGTAAGATGCTTAATTTCATCTAAGATAGAAGAAACAGACAAAGATGCAGAATACAAGACGGTACTGCGGGCCGTTAGCCATATGTGGCAATTATATTGAATCCCTCCTATAACGTTAGTTCTTGTCCAGCAGTGGACTTTTAAAAGCTTAAGGTTTTGTATGACTATAGCAAATATACTCACTATGCGGCGTCTCTCCTTCATATTTTTTTCTTTCATCTTCTGGAAAAACTTTACCAAATCAGCTTGTCGCCTCATTGTAGATATTTTATTAGTCGGTCGTGCTTGTGTCATTGGGCATATCGGATCATCCGATTCATCAGTGGTGTCATTGGGCATATCGGATGACTGTTGTGGAATATCTTCATTGATTTCTTTAATGACATTTATTTCACCGTTATCGTCATCTTCATATATGTACACATCCATGTTTTCATGAAATTTAGAACAGCAAGGTTGAGGAGATTTAAAAGTCATATCGTGCCCATAGGCTCGTCTCTTCGCTGACTTTTCCCAATCTGATCTTTCTACACTTGGATTTTTGGATCCCTCATCGAAACTTCCTGTACTTTCTGTTAGTGGCTCAAGATTTGGTTTGATGTTGATTTCAGGTTTAATGACACTTTTAGTTTTTTTTATGCTAGTATTGCGTCTTTTTGGCGAAAATGATGCCATTTTATTTGGTAAATGATGTAGAGCGTATTCTGGGGATTCAAAAGAATAATTGTTGCTACTATTATTGTCATTACTTCTATTTTGTTTTTGTACAACTACGTTTTTGGATAAATCTATTTCATCTTTAACCACTAGTCTTTTCTCGGAGGTAGTAATTTCTTTTTCGATATTATCCAGTTCATGGGTGGCTGATTGCTTTTTTATTTCTTCACCTGTTAGTGGTATAGTAATAATTTGATTTTCATTTTTTAAATTAAATTTAACTGTATTTTGTTTATTATTATACTCAAGTTTTTCTTCATTTTGGACATCATCATTTATCTTTCGTTTGACAGAATAATTAGTTACATTTTTAGTTAGTGTAATATTTTTTGAAACGTTTTTACTACCACTGATTTGTTTTTTTGACTTAGCATTAATATTCTTCAATTGGAATGAACCAGTAAGTTTTTGCGAACTATCTGAAGCTTTTAGATGATATTTATTTTTATATAATTTTGTATTTTTCTTCATATTAATTCGTTGTTGATGTTTTAGGTCAGCTTCGTATAAATTAGGGTCATCATTTTGGTATTTCAAAATGAAGTCATTGTCATGATCTTCATCGTTTTGTATTTCTTCTAAAATTTTATCTTGTTTCAAATCCTCAATTACAATCTCAGGGCTTTTTTTAAAATTAGATTTATTTTTGTTCCTTTTTAGGTTATATTCTATTTCATCAATGTCACTTTGTTCTGTCCTGATTTCACTACTATATTTGTTTATAGGTTCTGTAGCTTTTCCTAGCTTGTTCAATCTAACTCTTAATACAGGAGTGTTTCCTTCAATATCATCAAGTTGGTTATCAACCATTGTAGATGATGGTAAAAGTTTCCATTCATCGATTTCCATATTAGTTATATCAGAAGTAGTTTCTCGAAGTTCACGTGGGGTTGAATTTTTTTGTTGCTTGTGTTTATTGTTTTCGGAAGGTGGAAAAAGTTTTGGTTTAATAATAGGATTTTCGTCTTCGCTTTCTGACTGAATGAGGTTTCGTGCCTGGCCCTGATTTTCAATTTTTGCAGGAAATACAGGCTTGCTGCGTTCCTTTGCAAGACTTGGTTGGGGTTTCATGATGCTTGTAGTTTTTCTTATGCTAGTGTTGCGTCCTTTTACCGAAAATGATACCAATTCATCTGAATCAGAACTTCGAGAAAATTCTTGAAGTTTACGTGGTGCTGAAATTTTTTGTCGCTTGTGTTTTTTTATTTTGGAAGATACATCAAATGTTGGTTTAAGAATAGGAGTTTCATCTTCGCTTTCTGATATAATAAATTCAGTACATATATTCTTGCAGGCGCGTTTAGCGCCTGTTCGGTTTCCAATGAGTTTTTGTGCCTGGCCCTGATTTACGATTTTTGCAGGAAATACAGGTTTACTGTGTTCCTTTGCACCACTGTTAAATGAATCTTTTTTATGAACATTAATAGTTTTATCATTTTTAATTTTGCTTCGATATTGTTGTGCCAGGCTTTCTCTAGTGTCCATTATTTGTTCAAAAGTTTTCACAGTATGCCTATCTTTTTGAGCAAAAAGTTTTCTTTGGGGTATAACAATGCTGCTTACTGATTCAGCATCACTACTTTCTAGCAAATCGACTGTGATATATTTTTTCTCCTGGCTGTAAAATAAAGATTTTACCTATTTTAAATGTAAAAATATAATTAAATTAAAGAAAATTTGGGAGAAAATGGTAAAAACGACATAAACATTGTGTGTAACCGATGTTAAATATAACATAAAGGTGTACACCTGACACATAAATATGTGTTTATCCTTAGTTAAAAAAATTTTATCTTCAGAAATATTTTTTTTTTCAGAATAATTTTTGTGTTGGAAATTATGTATGTGAGAAATCCACACGTACATAACATCGGTCAATCATTAAGTTCTAGATAAATGGAAAGACTGGTCTCCACGACACAGAGAATCCTAGTGTGGAGGCCAGTGATACTGTTTGAAATTATAAATAAAATATCCACTACCCTATATCTTTCCATGGGTATCGTAAGAGGCAACAGAGGTAAACTAAGGCAGGAATGGGCAACTAACTTTCTATTAACATCAAAATAATCATAAAAAACGAGTGTGCATATGATCACACGATTTAGGTAAAGATTCTTTAGCTCCATTTGTGTATATATATATATATATATATATATATATATATATATATATATATATATATATATACATTCTACAAATATTTAGATTTATTATCGCATACCTTCAATAATAATAATAAGTTCTTTATTTCCAAGAGGTTGTACATCAAGATATTTGCTTAACATTTAATAAAGCTACATTTGTACATATACCTGAAAACATAGCATCTGCAGCCGAACTAGGAGACCTGTGCATCAGCTGTCAGCGCCATATCCCCACCGTTAGTTTATAAAAATATTAGGATGCAAGCAAAAGTTAAATGCAAGCAGAAATTAAATTTAAAATTAAATTAATTGGATCACATATTATGTTTATATACTATGTTACCACTTATACTTATACCAAGGTACAAAGAAGATAATCAATATTTTTTTATTATTCACCCAAAAATTCATAACACATGAGTTTTAAAACGAATTTACAATTGTATTCACTTAAAACGTGCGCAGTAGTATATTAAATATTGTTAATGTATTGAACAAAATGTTAATTCATAAAGTTGTTCAAAACAAAATAAAATTACGAAAAATAACTGGCTATTAGAGAAAGAGAGAAAGAAAATGTGCACATGCACTGCTCTCTTTTGCTTATATCTCCCACTCAACTCCCGTTCACCTCGCCCCATCACACTTTTTGTAACGCTTTCATCACGCGTTCGCCCTTACTCCCCAAGTCAAGCGTGCGGTGCGCAAACGCACAAAGCACGCAACGAATTTCGACGCAGTTTTCATCAATAGACAGAATGATTCGAAAGAAAGGTTTACATATATAATACATGCATAAGTTACCGAATCGTAGCAAGTAGAAATGGCCAAAACAAACTAGCTTATGTAGTGGCAATGGGCAGGCTATATAGTTCGATGAACCAACAACCGATGGGGAAGTAAGGTTCTCGAGTAGCCTCATTTCGGTAGGCGAAGTGTGGAGTGGCATTCCTACTAGATTAGTTAGTATGACGACCAGGTAAGGCATGCAGGTGGCTCGGGACCATGCTTAGTAGCATTCTTTGGGGGAGGCCTACGTTCAGCAGCGGAATTGTAAAGGGCTGTTATGATGATCATGGTAATAAAAAAGATTTAAACAAAAGCTGTTGGGGAATATGAATATGATACATTACAAACATTGGAATAGAAAGTAAAGTAAAGTACAGCCTACATTTTATGTGCTCCTGCTTAATATAAATATAATTATTTTAGTTTGCCAAACTGGTACCGTGCTGATTTTATCATAAATTGTTCTTAATCACCAAGGATGTGGCCAATCAGCAGTTAATATTATAATAACTAATGACATTAGTGTTAAAGTTAAATTGCTTACATATGAAATTTAAGTTGTTTACTTGAAATTGTCAAGAATGGAAAAAACTAATGAACTGAAAGTATATTTAAAAAGGTTGTCTAAACCTTTTTAAATATACTAATACTAATGAAATGAAAGTATATTCAGTTCATTAGTTTTTTCCATTCTTGACAATTTCAAGTAAACAACTTAAATTTCATATGTAAGCAATTTAACTTTAACACTAATGTCATTAGTTATTATAATATTAACTGCTGATTGGCCACATCCTTGGTGATTAAGAACAATTTATGATAAAATCAGCACGGTACCAGTTTGGCAAACTAAAATAATTATATTTATATTAAGCAGGAGCACATAAAATGTAGGCTGTACTTTACTCTTTACTTTCTATTCCAATGTTTGTAATGTATCATATTCATATTCCCCAAGAGCTTTTGTTTAAATCTTTTTTACACTAAAAGTGAATCTAACTTATCACAGAATGCCTACACTGCTTTTAAACATTTTGCAATAACACGCGCTTGAATGCATTGTACTAATTAGTATAAATTAATATGATATTGTAATTAATTACGTATTGGTGTAAAAATATCTATAACAGGCAACAGAGAGAAGCAAACCAGATCATGGCAAGCAATGTCTTCCTGATAACAAATAAAAATATAATTACTAACCCGCCTGCTAAGCATGGGAGCCATGGTAAATATACTGTGTGAGGCTTATGTTCTGCAGAAGACTATTAATATAAAGGGCGGACAAACGGAAGGGAAATTTATCAATTGTTTATAATATAATAATAATAATTGGCTGGTTTAATATATTCAGCAGACTTTAGACAGCAAATTCAAATCAAAAATAAAGAGCCTGCAGCTTATAAGTAATAATTGAGAATTTACTAAGCTTGTAGTTTAAATATTTTTGTAATAAATACCTTAAAATGTCAACATCAATATAATTTTCTACATTTACGTCTTGGTCTGTTTGTTTACTTTCTAAAACCTCCATAACATCCCCCGTGCTCTCCTCAAGCTTCTTCCACCAACTAGTACCTGAAGAGTTTAAAAGGTTAATTACTTGTCGTTTCAAAAGAATTCGAAATTGTAGTCTAGATGGCTATGATTTACGAATTTGCTCATGCAGAAACAAAGTAACAAGTACTGAAAATATATAGTATGCACATTGTAAGCATATTAAACGTCTGAAGTCGTTTTGAAGAATTAACCCCTCGAAACCACTAGCTCTAACTCCAGCACATTTTTTTTAATGTTACGCCTTTGAAATACTTAGCCGCTATAGATATAGACGATGATAAACGCTATGTTCTTTCACGTCATAACTTATTAGAACAAGCAGTCATTTTGGAAGCGTTGGGATGACGGGATATCCACACATGCTGCAGTTACGGCAGAAATGGTACACAGCAGCTAACCCATTAACAGTCGGAACTGTAGTAATTCTCACTAAAGAGAATGCGCCGCTCTTCATTGGCCATTAGGGATCGTTGAAGAGGTTTTTGCTGGACCCGATGGAGCAATGAGGATTGCTCGTGTCAAGACCGCGACAGGGTGATATATACGTCCTGTTATACATTTCTATCCTTTACCTAACCAATAGTTTTCGAATTATCTTTCTAGAATAGGTTAGTAATTCAAATTAGGTCTTTATACTAGCATCTTTCTGTCACTCTTGCTACCTGCGTGAAATATTTACCTAGAATTGCCAGGCACCCAAGCTAACATACGCAGGGCTAGCGCATTCTAGGCGCGGTTGAATATTAAAGATTTTTAAGGCTGTTTACGTAAATAGTATTTTTTAATACTGTATGTACATGTATGATACTTGTTGAAATAGTTTTTGTTTAGTGTTTAGTATATTTAATTCTAAGATAAAATGGTCGAAAATGTTTAAATGTAATTTAAAAATTATATATTGTGTTATGTACATTACCAGATAGGTATTTCATAAATTATAATGGCAAACGTCGTTCCTACTATAATTATTGCGTGGATGGATTCTTTAAGTTACCGAGAGAATTTAGTAGGAATTTATGAAAGGTACATTTATTTCATTTCTTTTCGTTTGATAAGTATTTGTAACAAAACAGAATTAAGTAATAATTGATCTACAGAAGTAATACCAAAGTACTTTATTACAAAACTTATTTGAAACTTACTTCACTATCCAAGTATCTACTTACATACCTATACTTGTCTTTTGTAATTAAAATATTTTAAGTTATAATAACACAAAATACTGAAATTCAAACTTTGTTTACTAACAAGATTTTAACTAAGTGAAATACGATCACATTTCTGTTAGGAATCTTATTTCAAGTTTATTTGTCCTTTACACTATCTACCTATTTCTTCCCAGCCAAGTCATCGCGATTCCCGACAAATGACTTTTCAAGTTGCATGACTTGGGCATCACAGAACTCACATAGGTGAGAAAATATGGTCAGTCGATCATAGTCAGAATAGGTACTTATTTTTTTACTCTTTATTGACAGTACTTTGTAACCACGGAAAGTCCGCTGTCACGTAGAAAAGGAAAAGATGCAAAGTAATACGAACACTCGCGCGCAGCGATAAAGTTTTTTTTTAGCTTGCGTGCGCGATTAGTCTAATTAATAATTATTATGTAGGCTATTAAACGTCGGCAAGCAGTCAACATCAAAGGAGTGCAACTTCTGTACATAGTACTATTATTAATTATGTGGTCCTAGCTTTAGTTAGTTCTAAGGGAACCCTTCAAGCCGGGGGGAATGGTTGTGCGGAGAACGAATACCCTCACATTTTGTTTAGTTAGTAAAAATTGGCCGGTACAGTCTCCTTCACTTCCGCTTCCTTCCCACACGGGCCTAATGGGGGGGGGGGTTACATTAGTGGCGTCATTAGTTCGCCCAATGGGATGCGCGTTGTGCTTCGATGGAGGTGGGGACGGTCGAAGAGGAAAATCGACGTGCGTCGCCGCTGCTCGCCCAGTCGGAGCGCAATCTTGGCCGTGATAGCACCCTGTAGCAATCGAGCCACAGAACAGAAAAGTCAACCCAGTGCAATTTGGTCGTGTTCGCAAGCCGACGACGGGTCGCGGTTATCATCGTACCTCATAGAGTAGAGTAATATATACAGAAATAGAGAGCCATCTCCTAGGATTTTTGTCACCCAATATGAATAGTGTCGCCGCCTGGTATCATATCCCTTGAACTAATCTCAATATCATGTTGACTATAGATAGCTGTATGTAGTTATGTATATACAGCTATCTATACTATAGGCGGTTATATTTATATTTTAAGGGATTAGGGTTCAATTAAAGACGTATTATAGATTTCAGTAATATTAACATTTATTTTTGTTATATATATTTAACATACACGATGTAAAAGCGTCTATTCCGCAAAATACAACACCAAACCAAATTAAATATGTCCACCGGGTTACCGGAATGATAAATGAAAGCGTCTATTTCGCACAACACTACACAAACACACAATGTAATTCCAGCATGAAAATCTAAACAGACAACAAAGAAACAGAGGGCTAATCCCAACTCAACCAAACTTATTGTAGCAACAACCGAAAATCACTTATAAACTATAATAAAACAACAACTTGCTCAGCGCCGGTAGCCATTATGTAATATAAAGTTGCTACTTGCCATTTCCAGAATAACCAAAATTGGTGTAGTCGCCATCTAGCGCACCTTTTAGAATTTAATGTTCGAAAGTTTATGGGGATATAGTACAAGATGGCACTAGTGTCTTTGCAAATTATTGAACCCCAACCTAAAGTATGGAAGTGTACCCCCCCTGTCGTACCTGCATGGCCGTGGAGAGAGGCCGCGCCAGTAAGTGCCCGTTACGTAGGACACTCAATAAGTTTTGAGATATACAAAAAGTATTCTAGATACTCTTAGTATTTATTTTACATATTTTCAAAATATTCTCCATCATGCTCTATACAAAGTTCCATTCGCCTAAACCAACTCTGAAAACACTTGCCAGTCTTGATCTTACATGTGATGCAGCATGATTCCGCGAAGCTCGATTTGGTCTTCTCTCTCGCACAGCTTGAAAAGCTTTGGGTAATGCAACCGTAGTATACCATTCAGAGTTGACTGCCCTACAATTTTCCAGCATTAACGTCGACAAATATCCGCTCCGCGAAAAAATACTAGCCACCATTTTGTTGCCGACGTTGCGAGGTCTTTGCAGTTTCATCGGTAACTGTCCTTCTCAACCAATAGTCAACCATAAAATTTACATAAACTCTGATAGTCAAGCAGCACTGCTATCGCTGAGATCAAACTTAGTGAACTCGAAGCTAGTTGGAGACTGCGTGAACCGTTTAAACACCCTGGGATGTAACAACAGGGTCTTTTAAGATGGGTTCCGGGCCACGGGGGTATAGTAGGCAACGAATTTGCCGACAAACTTGCACGGGAGGGCTCAAAGTGCACACAATTTGGACCTGAGCCATTTTGTGGAATCTCAAGAAGCCTAGCCCGATTGACCCTTGAAACTCTTTATCACAATAAATCACTTAAGATCTGGTCTGACACACCAGGCTTAAAACGTTCTAAAACCTTAATCCGAGTTTTTGATCGTAAATTCGCTTCAGAAGCCCAGGGATTAAATAAAAATAAATTGCGCATTCTGGCAAGAGCCCTAACTGAACACTGTTGTCTTAAAAAGCACATGTCCATCCTGGGACTTAGCAACTCAAGGATGTGTCGGTTGTATTCCATAACGGAAGAAACGCCTCTACACATCCTAACTGATTGCAGACCCTTAATGCGCAAACGTAACACTCATTACTATCTACTTCGCCCAGAAGAAGTGAAATTGCTCACGGCTAAGCAACTGCTTCTATTCATTGAAGACTTAAGGGCTTAGCCGTGAACTATAGCCATAGCAGCGATCACAATAGATCTTATAGGTCGCAGTGATACTGGTCTCTCTCCCTAGACCTGCATAGCTGCTCGCATATAATTAAAAAAAAACTGTCTGTCTGAGTAGACCCATACTGATGATTGACTTTTATTTTCCGGATCATATTGATATCCACGTCTCGTTACCAGTAACAATCTTTGAAACACGTCTAGATGCCCAGTTTTCAAAACGTACACGCATTTCATGGCACCAATCCACACGTGTCTGTTTTTCGCTTTTGGAGAGAAAAAGAGGGATCCATCGACAACAAAGCCTCCTCACTCCAAAATGTTGATGTAGGATGGTACGAATGCTCCCCGAACTAATGCCTACAATCTTCTCGATGTCCGTATAATCTTGTCTTCTCGCACCAACATTTCAGTAGTCCATACATTTTCTGCCATTACTGCTGTTTGCGGGGCCCCGGTTCTTTGGTCATCTTTAAGGTTAATTTTAACTCTTTTGTACTCAGCAAACCACCTAAAAATTTTTGCGCGTGATGAAACTGAGTCCCCTAATGCTGATTGTAACCGTTGTAAACTTAATTGTTCGGTGAAACCAAATTTAAGAACATAATAGAACATAGCGCGCAAATGTTCACGGTTAAGATCCATCGTTTTAAATTAAAAGCGCAGAAAGTGTTGCAGGAAAATTAATAGAACATTGTTTTTTTTTAATACTGAACAATTGGCTTATGGAGTTCTATTTTTAAATAAATTCACTTTTTAGAAACATATAACACAGGTGTGTTGCATTTTTAAATTTCGAGTATCTCTAAACTTATTGAATGACCTACGTGTCTTGAGCTATTTTTTCATTTGTTGTTCTTCCTTGGCAACTCATGTTTTCCATCGTGGTGGCTAATGTAGTAATTAAATTGTAGCAAGTATATTTTTCCAAAGACTGCTACATGCCACGTCCGCCATATTGTATATAAATATAAACATGTATTATGTATACACACATATAAAGAACCACGCAGCTAATATAGTCCACTTTCGTTATTCGCGCACACAATACTTTAGGGATCATTATTCCTGGAATCGAACCCAGGGCCCTGTGGCCCAACCATATTCTACTACCCCATTTTATCTTGTGCGTACTGTACTGGCAGAGTGAATCTAAACAAGATGGGCAGCTATATCCTTTAAATCCAGTCCAAATAGTTTCAGCTTGAAATATTAAAAATTGCCAATCCAATTGCCAAGTGTGGCAATTATAGCCAATATACTTCCTTTTTACAGAACAAGGGTGACAAACAAGCACACAGTCCCCCCGATGTTGTAGATGCTATGGCTCATAATAATCTACGCCTATCCTTGATTAAGAAACGAAATGCAGATGTGTTGTTACCCCTGAGGGCTAAGATGGAATGGCTGGTTAAAAAAAGGGTCTCTAGTTCTCTCTACTCACCATATGAATCACAGCAGCATTGAGCTGCTATTTTACTTATATTGATGCCATGATGATGACACATGATGAAATAGAGCCATGCTGCAGCATGCATTACATAAAATTTAGTTTTATTCACCTGATAAATAAATGTGATGAATTTATAAATTAATATATGAATAACTAGCTTGCCAGGCAGACATTGCCCTTTTCGACGACCCTTTGTCATATACTATTAAAAATCCTTAATTTGCAATAAAAATTGTGGGTCACTCATGGGCAAAAAACTATCCTATCTCTCAAGTTGGGCCAAACTGTGCAGTTTGGCCCGGTGTGCAAATTTGATTAAAATTGGTTAAGTAGTTTAGGAGTCCATCGCGGACAAACAATGTGACACGTAATTTATGTATATTAAGATTGTATGATATAACCTGAATTTTATACAAATTGGCTCCAGTCATTTATTGAATTTACATATCAAATATAACACTGGATTAGAAAGAAGTAAAATACTTACATGTTTTATCTTCAATATTTGTATTGTCAGATAACACAGATCTGAGAGGAGATATTACAAATGAGTTCATTTTATGTTCTTGTACTATAGGTGAAGGTTTAACTGCGGCGTTGGGCCTAGCTTGAGATCCAACAACACGGGAAACTGGAAACCGATGTTTTCTTGCTGCACATTTAAGACCTTTTGAACAAGAGGGGACAGGAATTCTTGTACTTGACATGTTATAGTCTGAAACATATAAGAGTTTAGAAAATTACTATTATTATAATTATAACGAATATATAATTACTGTAAATAAAATTAACCAAAATAATTATTATTATTATTATTATAAGCAACGCCGTCTTAGACCATACCGGGGCCCTTGGGCACACAAGAAATTGGGGCCCAGTTGGAAAGTAAAAAAGGGGTAAGATTTACAATTCAGTCGCCAGAATTAGGGGGTGGGGGTGGTGTGGTGGGAGGGGTGGTGTGGGAGAGGGGGAGGTGTGGGGGTGGAGGGGGAGTTGTAGAGTCACACCCTACTTATCCTTCCTGCCGGACATGCTTAGTTTTTTTTTAATTTTTAAAAATCTTATTTTGAGGTTATGTTTCGTAATTTTTACCTGATTTATGGGGAGAGAAAGTTGGAGGACGGAAGCCCAACGCCACTTAACACAGTGTAGTCGAGGGAGGCCCGGTAGACGCCACTTAACCATAAAAATAACCACGAAGAGGATGACATCCCCTTCTAACCTAACCTGTCTGAGTTGTGGTGACACGTCTAGTGTTGAGTAGGACATACAAGAGGCGTTACATTTGTCCCGTACATGACGTCAAAATGTCGGAGCGGCTCGGCATTTTTTAATGTACTACTTCAAATTTTATGTCGCGGCAGTCGCGAAGTCGCCTTACTCACTCTCCGTCTTCGTAAAACTATAACATGAGGACAGAGAGAGAGCGAAATGCATGCTACAAATTACAAAATAGTACGTCATTCTAAAATGAACATTACGTGACCGCGTTTCGAATCTCGAGCGAGAGGGAAATATGTTGCTGACATTGATATTAATAAATACTGTGAGGCGCACATTGCAGCGAACTGTTTCCATTTATATGTGTTTTGAATATCGTAACGTACTTGAGTCAGTGAGTGACCAGTGCAAAAGTTTTAATTTGATGCTTCGTTTGTGTAGTTTAAGTGAATAGATATTTTAATTTATGTATATATTCAGGAATGTAAGTCTTTGTATTTATTCATGTTTTATGAATGACTTTCTATACTTATTTATTTTGCTTGTATGTTTTAATATTTTTATTCGTCTAAGTTGATACTTTTGTTTATGACGATATTTGAATAAAAGATACCCATAAGCTTTGTATAGTTATAGGTGTGGGTATAAGTATTTAAGTAAAAGACATTTTAGCGAATGTCGATTGTCCTGTAGCGGTATGGAAGGAAAAGGGGAGATCTCCCGCCGGGCAAGGTGTTCTGCCCGGGGAGCGGCCGACACTCCGTGTGATAGTTCGGAGATGTTCTATATATGCTGTTTATGATTCGGAATGTTGATAGCGTGATTTAAGCTTCGGTATGTTTCGCTTGCGGCGCGACGACAGCGCCGCCACAGTCCGTTGGCCAGGACACCTCACCGGTGCGAGCGGCAGCGGCAGGGTATTTGTCAAACTAAAATAGATACCCTATTTAATGTTTACCAGGCTACATAAATAAAATATCCCCTGCTAATAACGGTTTTCAGATGTTTACTTTATTTGAGATTTTTTCTGTTTGCTTTTTGCATGCGCAGTATGTCTGGTGATGGTGATAGAAAATCCTCAAAAGGTTGGCAGTTTTTTAAGGACCTCAAAAATGATAAAGCCAAATGCAATTTTTGTCAGAAAGAATTTTCATACAAAGGTGGTGCTTACAACCTAATCAAACACACAAAAAGCAAGCATCCACAAGTGTTTGTGGCTATACGTGAATGTCCGATTGAAAATATAACTTCTTCTGCAATAGAAATCCATAATTTGACAACACATTCCACTGATTCGACAGCACAAGAACTTGAGATGCCTACTGCTTCCACATCTACTGCTTCAACTTATGTCATGCCTGAAACATCTGATTTCTTACCTGCCACCACTGAAAACACCAACCTATATAAAAAAGCTCCAGCCACTAACACCAAACTAACACAGTACTTTTATAAACTGCTTTCTGCTAAAAAAAACTGAACATCTAAACAAAATGCTAGTAAAATTATTCACAATAAATTACTTAGACTTCCATCTCATTGAATCCACAGAACTCAAAGATTTTATTAAAGAATTAAATCCAGCCTACCAGTTACCTAGTCGTAAGACGTTATCTAATGCAGTGATGACTAATGTCTATAATCAAACAAAAGAATAGTTAAAGTCAGAACTCTGTCAAGCAGAACATGTGTGCATTACAACTGATGGGTGGACATCAGCCTCCAATGATAATTACTTAGCCGTGACAATACATTTTTTCAATCAGCAAGCAGAATTAAAATCTTTTCTGTTGGAATGTATACAGTTTCCAGATAGACATACTTCAGAAAACCTAGCACAACAACTAGAAAGAATTATAGATAATTGGGAAATTACTGACAAAATTGTAGCAGCAATCAGTGATAACGCTTATAATATCAAAGCTGCTATAAGACTTAATAATTGGAAGCAAATACCTTGTTTCGCTCATACTCTCAACCTTATAGTCCAATCTGCATTAAAAAAATAAATGATATTATCACAAAAATTAAACAAATTGTCGAATTATTTCGTAGAAGTCTACTTGCATCTGAGAGATTTAAAAATATGCAAAAGAAGCTAGATGAACCCCTATTGAAGATAAAACAAGACGTTTCTCAACACGCTGGAACTCCACGTGTGATATGTTCGAAAGGGTGTTAAAAATTAAAAACAGTGTTATGTCCACAATTGCTATTAATTATCCCGATACTATAAATATGACTTCTGAAGACATTGAGGTTTTGGATTCGGCAATAGAAATTCTTTCATTTTTCAAAGATGTAGCTGAGGAGATGAGTTCAGAAAAGAATGTTACAATATCAGAGAAGTAATAGATAACGCATTTACCTTGTATATTCAATTTTAACATTCTTTTTTCATGTATGAGGTGTTTTATAAATTTCAGGTTATACTTATATCAAACGCCTTCAAAAAGAAATGCCTAAAATTTTTATCTACGCCACATCCGGACTGTGTTTTACGAATGACCCAAGTGCTTTTAAATGAAATTAGAACAAGGTTTTCGTGCATTGAGGAGAATAATATTTTTGATTAAAGCACTATATTAGAGCCAAGATTAAAAAAATATGGGTTTGAGAATGAGTACGCTTACAGTAAAGCATGTACAAATATCAAAGCCATGGCCTGGCGAATTCAAATACAAAGCACATGTACATCATAGCCGCCATCTTCGTCGCCATCCCGTAAGCGTAAACATAGCATATGGAATGAGTTTGATGAGCAAGTGGATATGATAATAAAAAATATTAATCTGACTGCAGGGGGTATTATCAAAGTCGATAAATACCTTGAGGAACCCCTACTGCCAAGGTCCCAAGATCCTGCCAAGTGGAGGTTTATTAAAAAGGACGCCTATCCTAGGCTTTATAAGTTATTTTTAAAACGGCTTTGTATTGTTGCCACTTCAGTGCCTTCCGAGCGCACTTTTAGTAAAGCAGGCCAGGTCCTTACGGAGAGAAGGAACCGGCTTAGTGGCAACAAAATCGCGCAAATATTATTTTTACATTCTCATTTATAATTATATTTTAAAGCTTTTTTATTATATTCCTTAAAATATACTTCTTTATCTTTTTAATTACCTACTTACAAACAATATAATCGTGTATGTTTAATCGTTTCATAGTGAATATCTTCAATCAGAGTAGATTGTAACTGTACGGCAATAACGTCCAATATCATATTACTCGTAACTTCAAACGTATCGTCGAGCTTCAGCGCGCCTCGCCCAAATTCCAAACCTCATTAGTAGACATGTTGTGTCAATCATGCATGATTCGTTCGTTTGAGCTGGTACACTTAAAAGTATTGATGGTTCATTCATTTGTTTTTGAATGTACCAGTACAACCAATCACAAACAATTGACGGTACCTTTTTAACCCGCGATTTGTTTGAATTGTGAATGAGCCGCAAACCGACCGAATCCCGAATGATCTGAATAAACAGGCGAATCGAATTAACAATGTAGACTGTATGTACTGATCTGACTGCAGAGCATAGAGTAGAGTAATATATACACAGAACACCATTACTCCTAGCGGAGAATATATATGCAAACTGCAGAGTATCAGGAGTATTTATTATTTAAGGGTTTTTTATTATAATATTGTTACCTAAATTAAAAATCATTTTACATTTTATTATATTTATTTGTTAAATCTTTGAGTTAAAAATATCATTTCGTAGAGTTTACTAAAAATAACACCCCAAAAGATTTCATGATAAATGATTTATTTAAAGATAATTTTCAACCATCTTATATAAGTTAGGTAAACGTTTAATTTCGTAGCAAATAAACGTTACAATCCCTATTTTTAGACATGTAAAGTAATATGAAATTGTTTATTGTTAGGAATGAAATGATGAAATGAATAAACAAATTTATTAAATATTTAAAATATACGATAACTTGAGGTTTTTGTGTTTATGCCATCTAGAGTCAATTGTTCTTACCACCTTGAAAGTTAATAAGTTTTAGTTCGATAACATGACTTTATTACCTATATCATGCAGTATTATAAATCTCAAATAAAAATTTTCGGTTTGTAATCCATCTCACAGACTCACAGAGTCCTGGAGTCTGAAATGATCCATTTGAATGATCGATCCGAATGTACCAGTACGCGTGACGGAATGTACTAGAATGATTTGGTCGCTAGAAATGAGTGATTTACACATGTCTACTCATTAGCCTCACCTCATTTGAAGTGGGACATTGTACTGGCTCAGTGCAAAAAAGAGCCTACTCTACTCTTACAAACTCTATATTATGTCGTGTCCTACCCAACACTACACACGTCCCACGCCCAGGCTCGCATCGTTTTTATCGACCAGCTATTGCACTCAATATAACACCAAAGTATTAACTTTTATAACTACTTTACTTTATAAACATAATTAATGGCTGACACCATTGTAAGAAAGGTTCTTTGCGATATTTATCAGTATTCCGCCGCCACAAATACTACACCATTCACCAAAATTCTGAAACTCGACTCGGAATCAACGGCATGACAATCTATAGGCATGACGAATAGCTGTCTAGCGATTAATTTTACACATTTTTTAATCGATTCGAATCGAAATTGGATGAATCGATTCACAAAAAATCGAAATCTAAAAAAAATTTAAGTTGCTCGCTTCGCTCGCTCTCTCGACCCCGTCATCCCCTTCTAACCTAACCTGTCTGAGTCGGGGTGCCCCACATCCCAGGCTCGCTTCGCTCGCTATTACTATAAGTATACTATACTAATATAATATACTATAAGTACTTTAATTTATAAACATAATTAATGGCTGTCACCACTTGTAAGAAAGGATCTTTGAGATATATATCAGTATTCCGCCGCCACAAATACTCCACTGTTCACCAAAATTCTGAAACTCGGAAGCAACGGCATGACGATCTATGGGCATGACGAAAAGCTGTCAACAAAATGGCCGTGGCCGGCCTAGCGATTAATTTTACTATTCTACTATTCACAAAAAATCGAAATTAAAAAATCGATCTTTTTTTATTTGCGTTAAAAGTTTATCTTTAAAATATCAAAAGATACAATAAAGTGCAAATAACATTGAATGATTGAATTGAAAAACTGTCATTCTCAACCAACTCGTAGTTGGGGTAAAAGTAAAGTAAAGTTACAGCCTATATACGTCCCACTGCTGAGCACAGGCCTCCCCTCATTTATGAGAGGGTTTTAGGGCAGGCAAGTGTCCACCGCGCTGCCCCAATGCGTGTTGGCAAACTTCACATATCTTAGAAATATTTTTTATCTTATTCCTCAGACATGCAGGTTTCCTCACGATGTTTTCCTTCACCGCCGAGCACGTGGTATAGCAGCACTTAAAATTGCAATTAGCAATTTCATTGGTGCCGGCGGGGATCGAACCCGGGTTACTCGCGTTCTGTTATATTACAACGAGCGTTAACCATCTGAGCTACCACGGCTCCCATTTGGGGTACATTCAACTAATTGTAAATAATTTTATAAATCTTAATAAAACAGAAAAAGATTCGATCTCGATTCTCTAGGGTGAAATATCGATTCAGTACTATATATAGATACAACATTGACAGATGAAACGTCAAAAACGTGAGAATATTTAGGGTATGTTCCGAAATACAACTCAGTACACTGGCAAATAAAAATGACGTCATCAATTGAGACTATATTGTACTGGCGTGCCGCCGCCATATTGCGTCGGATATCCGGCCACAATAAAACAATTTTTTAATTGTGTGTGCGCTGAATGAAGCGTGCCAGAATTTGTTTTTATTTATTCAAATACAAAAAATTATAGAATAATTGCTGGTATCTTCATTAGGAAGATATAATGATTTTTGGAGCACAAAATATTCGCCAACACCTTTCCAATATGGGGTAAATGTATGACGTCGTACACTGTCCCATGTTTTGGAACGAATCACCAGTATAGCGTCGATTCATGACATCATTTGCATTCAACAGTATACTGGATTGTATTTCGGAACATACCCTTAATTAATTAGCCATTTACCAATATTTTTAAAAAAATAATGAAAAAATGCTTCAAAAATCACGTGGGTGTGCTTTAGATAAACCCCCTTGATCCCCCCTACAGTGACAGAATCTTCAAATTCAGGCGACCGAATTGTAAACCCAACCCTAATATGTCATAATGAGCGACGGCATCCACGACTTTCTCTGCCACAAGGGCGGCGCTACTTTACAATGAGGTAAAATATTTGTCGGATATCATTACGGGGATGATAATTTCTTAGAAAATGTAAACTTTAATGTTTTTTTCCTAAACTTATTTCAAAAAAGAAAATATTCTATATAAAATAATACGTGTATTCTTTTTATTTATTACAATAAAATTTAGGCTTCACTTGTCTAAAAATAGAATCACAACAATTATTCGCTATAAAATCTAATATTTGTGTTTGAAAATTATC